TAATCTCAACGCTTTTTGTTCAATCACTTTATTTACAAATCGACAATTTGTTATCAAGCCATTAAGTTTGCTATCACTTTCACTCCAATGGATTGCATGTTTATGGTGCATTAGCTTCTACCTTTGATAATTATTTAATACCTAACGATTGGTTATTTTCAAAACAAATGAAATCAAAACAAGATGATCAAAATTTAGGTTAAGGTCAGTCTTTGTTGCCTCAAATAAACAGATTGCAAACTTATGTCTTGTATCATTCGAAAAAGTTACGCTTACTGTCAATTTGAGATTAAATTATTTCGGTCTTAATCGATTTTATAGAAATCCTGCTTTAAGGTCAAAAGCACTGCTTGGCTAAAGAAAAATGATGGCAACGTTATTTCATTTCAGATAAAGATCAAAAAATCTTTACATCAGAAACTAAGCTTTTTGTTACACGATTAATAACACTCAGGCAAAGTTAATTATACAATGTGTTATACTAGTATGTGACATCATGTCCATTTTGTCAATCAGTAGTTGTTACTGTATTAGAAATATATCTTAATTTGTAGCAGAATACTTTTAACTATGAAAAGAGACAAAATCTGAACTGATAAGGCACATATGAACTGAAATGAACATTCCAACAATGAACAATTCAAATTTATTCCCCACAGCTGGCAAAAGTCAAAATGTTTTCATTTATGAGTCACTTAATACTTTCTGAAATGTTTCTTTAAACAGTGACAAGCTATATATATCATTTCTGTCTTTTATCATACAAATTAGTAAAGTAAATAGGGCTGGCCTCCAGACTTTCACTAAAAATTTGTATCATTAAAATCTATGTATGGGAACCGTGTGATTATAAAAAATATCATATTTTGTTATAAAATTGACACAAAGAAACAGAAAGAAATGTGTCCGTGCCTGGATATGAACCCCTGAACCCATTTTTTCACAAAGGTTTCCCAGTACATGGACTATCACGTTTGTCGCGGCATCTCAATCAAAAGGCAAATAGGTTATACTATATACAGTATTGTTATACCGTCGTGTTAATATGCAAGACTTAGAAAAAAGGCAAATCACTATTTAAACTGTTTATAATAATTTCGTCATGAACTTTGTTTCCAAGCCTTTTTTATAATATAACCATAACTCTTACGTATGAGAAAATCTTCTTTTGTCTGTCAACTGGAGGCCAGCCCCTGTTAAACCCATTTATTATGTAGTGTTTTAGTTTTTAAAAAGTTCTCAATTTCACAAAATGCTTGATAATGTTCGCAAATATAAATCATGTGCCTTTTCCCAAAATAGCTAGAAATGTCCCTGCATGATTTTTTTGAAAAAGGTCATTGCGACCGTGACCTGTGACGACTGACCAAAAAATCAATAGGACTCATCTACTGACCGGGGCCTCACTGGCCTCTTCCCTCACTGAATATAAAGTAAGTAAATGTAATAGGTATCAAATTATTGAGCCGACAAGAAACAGGCTATAGTGCCTATTGTGATTCCGCTTAATATTAAGATTAATTTCTTAGAAACGAAATATTAATTCGTAAATACGAATTGATTTTACGAAATAACGAAATACGAAATATTTCGTTTTTACGAATTAATATTTCATTATTACAAAATAATATGTCGTAAAAATGAATGAATATTAAAAAAACTAAGCAGTTTTCACCATTAAAAAATGTAATGCAATTTCGATTTAGAAACATCCGCAGATACATGTTCCCACGCTGGTTATCATTAACTTTTCAATACGACACGTTTGTGTCCTTAAATGAAAAGTGGTGTATGGTCCCTAGGTTAAACATTGCTTGTGTCCTAAACGAGGAAACAATAAGCGGAACAAAATAGAATTTAGAAAGGGTATACGAGGTTAAAAAGCCTGCACGTCACATTTGAGCCGTCAAAAGACTAATTTAAAAAAGAAATCATGGTCACCTTTAAGGTGGCCAAATAATGGATTTTGACTGAATAACTGTCCTTTGTGAAAAATTTGATTGTATTTTCTTGAAATCCACACACGCCGTTTGTTAATGATTATTAAATGGGCGTACGTCCTGTGAAGATTTTGATTGAATTATCGTCTATTCTGAATCAGGAATTTACTTTTAATATCTTATTATAACTAAAGGTATTTACTTCGAACTCAACATCAATCTTGGGGTCGTAAAGGAATGATAGTATCAGGTCAATTACTCTTGCATTGATTTTGACTTGTGTCTTAATACAAATCCTGAAGCACAACACAATACTGGATCAAATAGTGTACTAACAATGATTTCAGAAAGAAAAATGAAATTGGTAATAAATGAAGAACATAAAGTCCAACCAATATTTCACTACATTTTAACTAAAGTGTATTCATTCATGTCTTTTATAACATTAAACTCAACGTTGTTTACAATTGACCTTGAACATATGTTAACAATACTAACAACTTAAACATTATGGAATGTTTTAGTTCACTCTGTCATCCGCAGTTTTACATATATATTTTTTCTTATCATTTTTTGATAAGGAAGCACTCTCGGCCAGTTGTATCCAGGTATGTCGTTAACAGAGCGAAACAAAAAATTCAACTTGCAACACTTCGTGAATAAGAGGGCTAAAATGTTTTTTACATGTAACATTTTGCAAGCCAAACAGACACATGCAGTTTTCAAAGTATATGATAGTTTAGATAATAGGTACTTTACTTAGATATTTTAGCATTACTTAACTAATGTCGAATAATGTTGAATATACCAATAAATAACTACTTACGTTAAAGGTATCCTTGTTCATAAGATAACATTCAGTGTGTAAAAATACACCGCTCTATAACTTCCTGATTTAAATGATTTGTGTAAACAAAATTCAAGTATACATAACATACCTATAACGATTAAGTTGAAGATCATTTAGAGATAAATTACATTATCTGTACTATAAAGTATAACATTTTCGACTTAATGTGTTTTTCGTCTCCAAGTACAATGACCATTTACAGAATTGATGATATTTATATAATTTTCATACATGTTATTTTTCGAAATGCCTTTATCATTTATTCGTAAACATGCATCAGGTAGTATTTAAATGCATAGAGAAAATTAAAATCTTCAAATACCCAATCCTCTCTTACAAACTGTGTTTTCTTTAAGTATTCACTTCCTTTATTATTTGAATTGACATATTTAAGGAATAATAACTTTGTCAGTGTACACATGTCCGTGTCAATTGATTTGGCATATATTTACAGACTCGTGTACGCAGTTATTTCGGTCATAGTATATAAGAAAAACAAATTAGGAAACAAAAAAATAACGTTTGTATTTACATGTACCTCGTTTTCAATTTCAACTTATGCATAGAAAACGTTTTGTCATGCTTGGTATTACATATTCAAAAGTAATGAATCATTGGATTTCATGTTTTATACAATCTTGAGAATAATTATTATAATAATAATTATGAAATTACATATGTAAAAGTAACTATTTCACTAAAAAGCATCTAACAGCTGCAGTGAACCAAGTGAATTTTGATATAAGTTTGAATATGAATTAAAAAAATCATTTCGGTCCACAATGGCTAAATAGCTAAATTTGCTTAGGTTATTTTGAACTGATCTGTTGTTTGATTAATGAATATCTATGAAATCTTAAATACCGTATGGTGAAAGCTTCGTTTGTATAAAATTGCTTTTTTCGTTCCTACGTTTTCGTAAAACATTCGTGCGTACATCGTGCAATATACGTTTGTTAATTCGCTTCCATAGCGTGCATCGCTTCAAAGCGTATATCGTTTATCGTGTATCGTTTTCCGTTTATCATGCGTGTGTCATCCTCTGAAACGTTTAGTGTTCGTTTGCGTCCGTTTTTTTATGTCTGTTTCTAGTGAAAAGTTAAAAACAAATGAAAAGTATAAATGAATATCTTAGATCATTTTTTTCACATTTCCACTGGTTTCTTAAAGATGTAAAAGCAGGAAATCGCTCTAACGAAGATAAACAAAAAAGGATGCTGTGATGTCAACATTTTATAATGAAAACCGGAATTTGGCTCGCTAAATATTCACAACGGTGATTAGATATTGAATCCTACTTTTCATACGTAGGAATTCAATAACTCTTTAATTGCACCATTTTCTGATGTTCAGGGAAGCAAACATTTGTTTATATGCGTACCAATATATCCGATTTCAGGTTCGTTAGACGTGACATGATTGTAGACTATTGTGCTACTTACAAGTTCCTCCTCTGACGTTCCATTTAAGACTGTCGAAACCCTTTTGTCTCAACAGTTGTGCTCATTATTTTGGCTTGTGTATCTTTTTTTCAAATTTATTTGATAGTGACATAAGTATAATAAAAATAATAGAATACTTTTGAGGAAAAAAATCTAAATTTAATATACAAACTGAGAGAAAGTTATTAACAACTTAGAAGTGATTTTTATTCGTTCACGCAAGTTTTGTAAAAAAAAATATAACAGTGTTGTTTTGCGTTCTGGATAGACTGTTTAAGTTGCATCTACTTCAAAATCCTTGAAAGTACAAACTGTCTATATTCGCCACAATTCTTCAATATTTAATTATAAGTACTTAACTAGATCTTATCTTCAGCATTGATGGCCCCATAAACCAAATGAAATATTTACAGTGTTTGAAATGCATGTACTGGAGGAGCACATATGCTATCTGTAATTTTTAAATTTGCTCAAAAATATGGAACCCGTGTTTTGTTAAATTTGTCATCTTGAAATTATTTACATTGCAAACATGTTTGTAAAGAGTTTTTGATATATTCAGACTCGTCTTGTTATTATATCTAAATACCGCAACTGTTCTATATAGTTGACCAGAACATTTCAACATTTTGATACAAATGTACATATTTGCAACGCTGAATGTGTGTTAATATGTGAAATATAGTTTAACAATATTTAATTTAGATGATTCTAATAATGTGTAAATGTTCGTGCAACTTAAAGTACAAAATAACATTTCAATGAAAGTAAAGTTCATCATCAGTATATTAAATTGCATAATTTTATGCACCTTTAAATACAGAAATATGTTTAAGAATATAATTAAACAATATCAAAAAAATAACTGTATGTGCGTATACATGCATTTTTCAACAAGATATTTAAGTTTTGCTTACTAGTATTATATATTTCAATAGTCTGTATAAATGGATGTATGTAATAATTCCACCTCATGTACAAAATGTTATACAGTGCATGCAAATAATAAACTAGTAGTATTCCCTTTTGTTCAAGAGTAGGGTATTTATATTTTCATATTGATATAGATTTTCGACAGTTCGGCATGTTGTTCTTCATTGCAACTAGACGCATTCTTTTCGGTTTCATTACCATCTTGTATCTCTTTCGTAGAATGAAGCTGACTGTACTGGTTTAAGTCTTTTCGATCATCTGCTAGTTTCTCATATGTTACTGGAATCTCATTATTTTCTTCTATATCTGGAATTAAAGTGTTTTCTTCTGAATTTAAACCTGACACAAATATGGCAGTTAAACACATTTGGTACATATTATTTATCAAATAATAAAGGAAATGCGATATATTAAGGCACATGACTTGTGTTATTACATTTAAATAACTTCTTATTTGGCCAGTACTTTTGCCTCACCTTCAATACATTTACTGCTTCCATTGACTGTGTTTTCCGAGTCTTTCACATTCAATCCGATCTTTTCATATTCGTTGTCATTACTATTTTGTTGAGAATTTGCACCTAATAAGCAGGAAAAAAAATGAATGATAATATTCAAATGATAAGAAATAACTGTGTGTAGTGTAAGTGAAAATATTAAAACAATGTGTGAAATAATAATGATAATGATTGTGTTTTAATACTATCAGTCTGCATCTAATGAAAGTCTTAATTTATGTTTCAAAAAATCAGTCAAATGGTTAACAATTTTATGAGACCGTTATTCTGTTGACACTTTTCAACAAGTTCAATGCTTTTAAATAAGGAATTTGAAAGCTTCAATAGTTTGATTTAAAGACAGACAAGTGATGCACTTATTATCACTTTTAAATTGTGAACACGTTATAAAACTTGATCATATCCTACCTGATACGTTTTGGTATGAATTGTTTACATCCGTGTCTGGTCCGTCATGATTTCTCCTAAAAGCGGATAATTATTTCATTATAATTGGTCATTTATACAGAGGAAAAATACGCAAAAAAGGAACAAACTTAAACATGCGTTCTTAATATGTTTATTTTTTCTAAAAGGTTTGAAACTAAATTCATTTATTAAGCTAAGTTTGCATTTCTACAATTTTTACACAATCATAAAACAAAATGCACCTATACATAGCTTAAAGTATGTATTACCTTCTTCTGTACCAAATTACACCAAAGACGGTCACGATCGTTACAAGCAATATTAAAACTATTGTTAACCCAACTATAAGCCCTGTATTGCCGTGAACATCGGACTGTGATGACGCCGCTGAAAGAAATCAGTCCAGATTTTGCCGGAAATATGTTAACTTACACTAAATTTTTGCAATCTATGTCTTTTTGAGCATAAAGAAAGCTTTTCTTCTACAAAAGCATGTCAACATGAAGATAAATGTTTAGTGTTTTATTATGTAGATTGAAGGTGTTTTAGCAAGCATTAAACGTCTTTACATATTATGTCAATTTGTCATACAAAGTTATAATTTTTTTCTAAGAGCAAACATCAGAGTGTGCTTTATGATTACTTTATTGTCAGTTTTAACGTAGTGATTATTGTTTTTCATTTTCTTGATGCTCATTTCAACCTAACATTATAGTGTGTCAAAATATACATGTACAAAAAACATACTTTGAAAGAAATGTGTTTACTTACCAGAATATTCAACATAAAAATTGTGAATGTAGGATCCAACGGCGTTGGAAATAAAAAGCTTGTATTCGCCAAAATCTGCCTTAGATGCTCGAATAATTGTCATCCCAAAATCCAAATTCGATTGATATATCCGTATATTGTTGCTTTCATTCACATTATTCCAAGATTTTCCGTCAAACTTTCTCCACAAGACACTATTAGGTTTAGGGTAGGATAGTGCTGTTAAGTAAAGACTGATCGATGTATCTATTTCGGCAAAAACATGATCCATTACCGGCACAGAAGGGCTCGGTCGTGGAGAACCTACAAAACATGCATCGCTAATATTGATATAATAAAATTGCATTTGAATAATGTATGATTTGATTGTTGTCTGTAGTATGAATCATTTTCCGCAATATGTTACTTTCATTCAACCTATTTTAAAGATCGAATTTTACTTAATGACCGTTCATTCGAAAGTTCAGACACATTTTTCACCCGCATTTTCATAAAAGAATAATAAACAGTGATAAAATCAAAAATGTACTTTCCATCCCAGTTTTAAAAAATAAATGTTGATCAAATGTATAAAATTAATGAAAAGTACTAAATATATAAATCTTACTAACATTCTACGAAGATATTGATTGTTTTCTCCGTATAACCTGACTTGTTGATAACATTGGCACCTTTACATTTATAAACACCAATATGAAGACAACTCGCTTTGAAATTGATAGAACATTTAGCATAGTTATGTGAATATTTTATGTGATACTCCATATCCGAATTATGTTCATTGTATATTCCACATGTGGGTGTAGGATTTCCTTCTATCTCACATTGCAGACCAACTGTTTCATTTTCTGCAACCGTCACAGAATCATGCGCGATACTGTTCAAAACTGAATAGTTTAGGAGATGAGCTTTGTCTGCAGTCAAAAATAAACAAACAAATCATGGTTGTCAGGGTGGCCTTAATTACCAACCTGTCTATATAAGATCTCATTGACAAAATTTTGATTATAAATTGTAAAATATAATGTTGGTACAATGTTGCGGTCAAATTTAATGAATATCAAAATTATGCGTGTGATTTTGTGTATATGGTCAAAATATCTTAACTGCGGCTCAAAAGATATAAGGAAGGTCAAGCTAACGTTGAAGCCAAATATTATTTAACGTGAACGGCATATCAAATCGAATATGCGGTCCCGGGTATAAGACTATGTATAATATAAGCTTATAATTAGTTTAAATGTAATAGTTCAAAGAGTGACTGAAAAAATTAAACGTCATCAATTCAATAAATGTGATGGTTACCCCTTGTTAATTTTAAAGTGCCCTTTTCAAACATAATATAATGGAATAAGATGGAAAATAATACGAAAAACTTATCTGATAAAGGTAAATAATAAATTGTATATACATGTTTAAAAGTTTCAATTTAACTATCAATTTTGATAAATTCACCTTTTTTAATGAAATTACATTCTAGAATATAGTAATGAGTCACTTACTACATTTAACATAATTTACTTACATAAAACATTGAGATGGATTGTTCTGCTTGTTACAGTCAATGTTTTATCACCAATTGTTGGAATGATTGTATTTTGTAAAGTGCATGTATAATTGGCATCGTCAGCTCTAGAAACATTGGTTATAGTCAGTTGGCTATCCATCCAATTCTTGGAATCACTTTGCCTATTCCACGAAATAGTTTCGTAACTTGGGTTTCCCCTTTGAACTCGACATGCTACATTCAGGTTTGACCCTTCCGAAATACTTACGTCTTCTAATGATGCAATAGTAGACGGATCTGTAAACATGTTTTGATATAAATCAATAAAACGATAATAAAAACTTGCGATGCATAATTTTTAAGGTGAAAATGTTTGGAATATTACTTTTCTCAATACTGAATATATTGGATGTTACGGATATATCAAAATTTATGTATTTTATACTTACACATTATGTTAAGATATATGCTGGAGCTGTTAAACCCATGTTCAGTGTCACCAAAAGTGCGTTTCATCTCGTTACTCGCATAGCACGTGTAATTCCCGGCATCCTTTCTGCTGATATTTACAAATGGTCGTATAGTTTCGTGTATTTGGTCAGTTTGGCTTTCCCATGTGTATTTTGGAATAGGATTACCTTCTGAAAAACAGGTCATATTAATGTTGTCTCTTTCTTTCAATCGTATTGTTGCTGTTGTGACGTTTATTTGTCTCGTTTCGTTCGTAGTTGTTATTTTAAAAGTTGGTTTTGTTGGAGGGTCTGAAATAAAGTAAAATATAAGAATGAATAATATCATAATAAAATACATTTTCAATGATCGTAACAAATCATAGTGGTATTTAAGTAGCAAATTAAAAGATATATTATATATTTCAGAGTTAATTGGAAAAATGAAACAAAATAAAAAAACAACGTTTGTACAATACGTGAACAATGTTAAAATGATGATTTTTGCATAAATCACACAAAAAAAGGATAAATTAAAAAAGAAATACACTGCACGTTGAATGTAGCGTTAATAATTCTTTTCCAGCTGTTAATTTGTTCTGATGTGCACGAACATGTATTCTGATTACGATTAGCCTTCCAATTTACTGTACTTGTTACAAGATTGTTGTCATGGATGTCATATGTAACGTTAGTACTGCCAAAACAGTCCCATCCCAAAGACGCAGGTGGATTTCCACCGGTTATGGAACAAATTAATGTACCCGAATCTAATTCGATTACAGACACAATGCTGTTGGTATTAATTCCTTGTATTACTGGAAGATTTTCAGGGGGATCTGAAATTAAAAATGTGTCAAATATTAAATTAACTTAATGTATGTTAAAGTTATACATGAATTTATGCAAGTGGAAAACTCAGTGCCAATTAATACTATGATTGATACCTAATTAATAAATTAGGAAAATGTTTTATTCAATCGAAAGTTCAATCTGTCAATGTGGCACAGCTTGAATTAAAAATATGTACAGGGCCAGTCAAATATTTCACTGATGATTACGCATTGAATTTTAAATAATTCATTATGAAACAATTACTGTATTAATAAATATATTAACCTATTCCACTATTATACAAGAGGAAAAGAGATATGTATGATAAAAATAAAACCGATTTTTAGATTTACAATGTAAAAGAACATTTAAATATATCTAATTTTTATTGAAAGTAAGAGGTTATGATCGTTTGGGTGTAAGGGGTTGTTGTGTCATTGACTTGACTAAATGATTACTAACGAAAAAGTGTTACAATATTTTACAATTATTTTAGAAACAATAGACAAGTATAAAAAGAAAACTATGCACGTTTTTAAATCAAATAAAATCAGTTATAAAAAGGTTAAATCTTATTAAAAGTTGTAGAATTATTCAATACAAATGCCTGACATTCCAAAAACCATATCTAGGATCATATCAATGACCATATCGTGTGAAGAAAATAGCAACGATAGCAAGCTTACACGACACATAAAGAACTAGCTCTCTGCTAGTTATGTCAGCCTCCGAAGTTCTAGTCCAAACCTCACAATACAGACGCCATCCATATATCGTTCTATTTGGTTTGAAATTCAAAGTACTCACAACAGCTTTAAGTCCATTATCACTTGGTATAATTGTATTGCTTGAAATTGTGTCAGGTTAATTTTTATATTTTCTGTTGGATTGCGTATTAGCCATCTAACTCTTGGGTCTGGTCGGCCTCCCGAAGAGTTGCACGTGATCAATTGAATCTGATTTTCCTGCATAATCTCCTGGCTAGGCTCTCGTAAAGTGACGCTCTTCACTGAAACTGTAAACTATACATGTTTTTGAAATTAAAATAAAAAAAGACAAAACAAATATTTAATATAAAGGCAGATATATCAGCTATACCAAACATCTTAGCAATGACATGATTTGCCTTCGATATGCTAAATACTTGACTAAAAACAAATGAACATTTTAAGTTTGATACAGTTTATATATATATATATATATATATATATATATATATATATATATATATATATATATATATATATATATATATATATATATATATATATATATATATATATATATACATGCACGATATATATATATATATATATATATATATATTATTTATGTAATTAATATGATAATTGTTAGTATGCACTTTTTTAATTGTGCAGTGATATTGATTAACAGTAGTATAAGAGTTTCATGTAATAGGATATCGTTTCTAAAATATATATGTGAAACATCTATAAATTAGATTGTGAAAATATGAAAAAGGATCGCGTATTTAGGCCGACATAATAAAACAATAAAATGATGACATTTTGTTTTAGATGTCGCTGTAAAATAAACAATACGTTCGCATTGTTTGAATTAATGCAATCAGTAGTTGTGTAATACGATTTGAGAAGATAAGATATAGGCCTTAATAGTTAGTGTCTGAAAATTACACCGATCTGCAAGGAATGTTTAAACATAAAAATTCACTTTACAGAATGTAATTAAACTTATCGACATTTATTTGTTCTTAATTATTTCAACAATAAGTGAACAGGCATACAATTAATGTAATATTTAAAAAAAATATTTCGATTGATAACGGAGTTTATTTATTGTTTTTTTTTTAAAGTTTATCCGTAAATGCGATCTGTTGACATGCATTTTGCAAGCAAGCTAATTCCATATTAATATGATTGTTTAAACTGATCAAATTTAGACATATACTTAAACATTGTTATTCTGATTCGATAACTGTTTGATTTAAATAATTGTATCGTAGTTTCATCTGTCAGGCCCATTAGGTTTTCCTTGTTCTTTTAATTTAGTATATGCGAATACAGAAATAGAACGTATCAATTTACTTAATTTTACCTTTTACATTGATGGTTACTTTATTGCTTATGTCAAATAAGCCTCCACATTGCCACACTTGACCGTTTTGCCTAGCCCCAACGCTTAATATTTCCAGAGTAAAACTTCCATTTCCAAAACAATAAAATGCGTATAAATGTTGGCCCTCTGAGAGAAAGCCTCTATATAGTTGATAAGTTTTTTTGCTGTAACATTCTATTATGTTCCACATAGTAGAAGTGTTAGACCATCGAAATGTCGTGCCAGGAAGTGGTAACCTGCATGTTAATTTTACACTTTCATTTTCAAACACATCAACATGCTCTGGAGAAAGATTCGGCGTTGAAATGGATTCATAACCTTAATATAAAATTTAAAATTCAATACAACCACAAGCGTAAATGTAGTAAAATAATACTTTGAATCAAGACACTAAATTTTGTTCAATTATTATATTTATCTCATGTAGTTATAAACGCGCCTCCACTATATATTTCATAATCGGCTTCTAAGCTTTAAGTATTCAATTTCATAATAAAGATGTCATTGTAACGTGATGAGTGTTTGAGACAACTGGAAAACAAATTGTGGTTACTTTCATTTCAATAAATTTACGAGTATCGATACACCTAGAATTATTACCTTTTTGTAAAGCATTTACCTATGTATACATTTAATTATTCCTTTTTACATATAATTATAGGATATCATTAAATCATAATTTTCGACTGGTGCACAAAATTAATAGGGCTAAGGTTAATCAAATACTACACAACTGAAAGATACACACAATGATAGAATATGTATTTTGACGCAAAGCTATATAACAGACAATTTTTAGATTTTAGACACGTTTGACCTCATTATTCCCCCCCCCCCCTTCGAAGAAGAGGGTGTATAATGTTTTGCTAATGTCGGTCTGCCTGTCAGTTTAATGGTCTGTCCGTCAGTAGACCACAAGCTTTCCGCTGATTATCTTGAAAACTATTTAATATCACAAAGTCTTCATATTTCACATATTGATTGGTCATAACTAGTAGATGATCTCTATTGATTTATGGGGTCACTAGGTCAAAAGTCAAGGTCACAGGCGCCTTAAATATCAGAATGGTTTCTGCTCATTATCTTGGTTACAATTCATCACAAAGTCTTCATACTTCACATCTTGATTTGTCATAACTATAAAATTACCGCTATTGATTTTGTGTTCGCTAGGTCAATGGTCCAGGTCAGATGGTTCCGCTTATTATTTTGAAAATTATTTATCACAAAGTCTTCATATTGTACACACTGATTGGTCATAGCTATTAAGTGACCCGTATTGATTTTGGGGTCACTAGGTCAAAGGTCAAGGTCGCAGGTTTTTGAATGTTAGTATGGTTTTCGCTCATTATCTTGGAAGCTGTTTATCGCAAAGTCTTCATGTTTCTAATATTGATTGGTCACAACTATCAGACGACCTCTATTTATTTTGGGTCACTTATTCAAATGTCTAGGTCACAGGGGCCTTAAATGTCTCATTATCTTGAAAACAATTTATCACAAAGTCTTCATTATTTTTATTTTTCCTAGTTAATTACTTATATGTAACCATTTATGGCAAGTTTATATAACAAAATTACCAGTAATAATAGTCAAGGTCTAGAAAAGGGGGCATATGTGTCGTTTGACATTTCTCGTTTCTCCTTGTCATCAGTCACAAAACATTATACACCCTTTATCAAAGTCAATAAGATATTAAACATGTGACCCCTTTTACTTTGTATCATAAGAAAACGATGCATTACTTCATTGCATAACATCTTCGAAGTCACAGTGCAATTTATGCGCAATGGTAGAGTTGATTTATACATCCGTATACATTAAAAACGCACTGTTATTTTTAACAAAGCAGATAGTATACCTACATTTTAAAACAAAAATTGTCAAAATTGTCAATCTATACGTCATCGCTGTCTTCAAGGCATTAACCTGAAATAAAATATAGGGTAACACTAGTTTATTAAAAAGATAAGTACATAAACTTAGGCTATATAAAATTTTGAAACAAAAAATTAAATACTTGTAAGAGAGAAATATGTTTGTATGTTTCCTTCAGCGAATGTTGCATGCACAAAAAAGCTAAACTGTTATTATCCTCTTTTGTTCAATGTATTGTGTCTACTTAAATCATTTGAGCTTAATCAAAAAGGCAATGCATGTTACATTCCTATCAAAATTGTCCATAAGAATTCGGAGCATATATTTACTGTTTAAAATTATAATTTATTTATTTAATTTGATATAACAACAGTTTACCCATTGGGTAACAATAGTTTAAAATAGTTTAAAAAGATAAATCATTATGCATAAACTAAAGCTACATACAATTAAAAAAACAAATAGTTACAATACCTGTTTGAAAGAAATATATCTGTATGTTTTCTCAAAAGCGAATGTTGCATGCACAAAATCAATGCTAAACGGTTATAATCCTTTTTTTTAAATGTAGTTTGTCTACTTTTTATATTTATCATATGTGCTAAATAAAAGAGACATTGTATGTTACATTTCCAAGACATACAATAAACAACTGGGTAGCTCAGATATAAGAGCTGCGGAAAAAACTTATTGCAACTAAACCGGTTTCGAGTCTGATACTTTCCATCATTTGATGTTCAGTGCCAATTCGGGTATGTTAATCGATATAACTCTGCGTCAATTCTTTTCTGTACGTATTATATAAGACAGGTCAGTCACTGTTTTGAAATCTTCTTTGACTTAAAAGTAAATGTGTAAGAGGCCAGATAAGTTAGAGCTTTGGACCGGACGCACACATTGCTTCAACTGTGACGTTATGATTTTAATTAACTGGACAACGATTATAGAAAAAAAAATCCGTGTAAATAATTATTTGATCCAATCGATCAATATATGATTGGGTTTACCTGCATACGTATAGTTGGTCGCATTAAGTAATTTAAGTATTTATAATAAACTATTATATATAATTGATGCTATACATGCTAAACGTACGCATCTACAGCAATAATATCTAAAATTTAGATTCGGCTTTCGCCAAGTCCAACGTATATTTAAGAAAAAATATGTGCTCGTCGCATACGAGGAGTAATGTACTGAACCATGATTAATAACTTCATACTATTTTATATGGATATGCAATTAAAAAACACCTCTACTTACCTAAGTCCGTATTGTAGTATTCCATGCAGGCATTGTCCTTATATTTGTAACCTTATATTTAAATTGGGCAATAGTAAACCGCATTTATATAGTGTGCATAGGTTTGCATAACTTCCTGGTTTAAACATTTTGTTTAAAAATATCTTACATGTACATGAAATAAAAAACTTATAAAGAAAATAAATGTAGGTCATTCAATCACATAAAAATATCTTCTATCGCTTTTATCTATGTTTAATATTTAAATAAATTGAGATTGATTTTTAACGACACTCCACCGTTGTACTTGTGTATGTTTTACACCACCTTTTATATGTCGCATTAAATATAATTTATTACAACACATGTATTTAACTTTATAAAATATTGGACTAAATTACCTGCATATGACTTTTATGTATAATAGCGTGTTAAGTTAATATCTAGGTTTATATTGTGATTACCTATCATCTTCTGTCTGAATCTAAATGATACTACCACAACGGAAGATGGTTTAAATAAATCGGATATCAATATACATAACGCAGACAGCGTGGGAATGGACATATAATGATATATACAATTATTTAAATAAATTTTATTTCAAATTGTATTTCCATTAAAATATTTTGGTTACCACAGTATGTTTAAAGTATATAGAAAGCATATCAGGTATTTGGTTATGTTGTCTCAATATCGGTCGTGTTAAAAGATGCAAGCTGGTGCAAAACTAAACTTTTATTTGGTCTTCTCCACACTAAAGTGCGTTTATTTGTGAAGTTTATGAAAAATGTAGCTTAAATGCCAAAGGCATACTTAAGGCAAGACGTCTAGCACTCATACTACCATTATTAAATTTATTATTGTCTGAGTAGGAACCCTACATTTGTTGCATTCCTGAAGCTGTTTTTTTTTACGAAATACCCTCCCCCCGGAAACAATTGCACTGGGTCTGAACAACAATATATTGGTCTAACGCATGTGTCGTACAAATAAAACTACCGTTAAAATGTGCTTAACTTCTTTCGATTTGGAAACGATTTCACATTCGATGAACAACAATAAAGAAACATTCAAATTCAAGGTACTGGCAACCTGTATCTGAGACATGCCTGTCTGCAATATACCACATTTCAATTTCCCAACCCTTTCATCGGATCAAACGTTTCCTTTTATTTAGCGAACAAGTAATAAAGTTAAGTTATACAGAATAAATGACGTAAGCGCACCAAACAGACGTCTACCTTAAGTGAAACCACATTTGGCACTTACGAGCGTTTGGGTTATGCAATGAAATAAATCATAAATTTCTGTTTTGTATTATGTATCTATCTTATATCATAATGAAGGTCCGTCCGCCCTTTCAGGCACTGAGAGCAAGAACCCCGGACATTTCGCCAAACGTGTCTTTTATGTTATTTAATATCAGAAATGGTGACCTATTTGATTTGAACGTTTTGTACAATGTATGCATGTATGTATTTTAGGCTTAATGAAGGTCCATCCCCTCATTCAGAGACTGAGAGTACGGACCCCAGACATGTCACCATTTATGTCCTTAATGGTTATGTAAGCTAGTTAGTAAGAACAATATCAGATAATTATCTGTATAACCAGATAAATTTTCAGTTAATTAAAGAAAACGCGATATACTTTTGAAACATTCCTTTCTTATTATTATCTGACACATTAAGTGGTTATCTTGAAAAGTGTTCTGTTACTAGATAAATAACAGATAATTATCTTACTATCTACATATTTTTCTGTACGTTAGCTAGTAAGATAAATATCAGCTAACCATCATTATAACTAAATAAAATTTATATAATAGATAGGAAACGCAAGGGATATGTCCGAAACATTCCACATTATCTGTTCAATGAAAAGTAATCTAGTCATGCAGATAAATATCTGAAACTTCAGTTAACACAAAAGTTTTATAAACGGACCAACAGACGTCAACGTTAAGTGAAACCACATTTGGCACTTACGAGCGTTTGGGTTATGCAATATATAAATCATATATATACGTTTGTATTATGTATCTATCTTATATCATAATGAAGGTCCGTCCGCCCTTTCAGGCACTGAGAGCAAGAACCGCGGACATTTCGCCAAACATGTCTTTTATGTTATTTAGTATGAGAAAGGGTGACCTATTTGATTTGAACAATTACTACAATGTATGCATGTATGTATTTTAGGCTAAATAAAGGTCCCCCCCCCCTATTCAGAGACTGAGAGTTCGGACCCCGGACATGTCACCATTCATGTCCTTAATGGTTATGTAAGCTAGTTAGTAAGAACAATATCAGATAATATCTGTATAACCAGATAAATTTTCAGTTAATTAAAGAAAACGCGGAATACTTTTGACACACTCCTTTCTTATTATTATCTGAAACATTAAGTGGTTATCTTGAAAAGTGTTTTGTTACTAGATAAATAACAGATAATTATCTGACTATCTACATATATTTCTGTACGTTAGCTAGTAAGATAAATATCAGCTAACCATCTTTATAACTAGATTAAATTTATATAATTGATAGGAAACGCAAGGGATATGTCCGAAACATTCCACATTATTTGTTCAATGAAAGTTAACCTAGTCATGCAGTTAAATATCTGATACTTCAGTTAACACAAAAGTTTTATAAACAGTTTAGCAGTTTCGGGAACTTTTTAGTGTTTTTGGAAGTTAGATACTTATTCGTTATTTATCTGTTTAACAGACAAAAATATAAAGTTAGTCTGATAAATATATGATATTAATCGTGTTAACACGAACAGTAACGAGATAGTCATATAGAAAACGCGATACTTATATACTTTATTGTTGGCAGAATATGCGTCCATACCATCAAACTTATGAAACGTGTTATTTACGTTGTTTAAGTGTTTGCTAATATGTAACAGAATGAGCTGTAGAACATTCAATCAATTATTTATACATTCAGGTTGTTAATTATTTTGTCCATGTACGGTATGCAACTAGGTGTTTATTAACAAAAACGAATCACTTGTCCCTTGTCGTTTGTAGATGGAAAAATGCCATGCATCCTTTTCTGTCACGCCGTTACTTTATCTCTCAAATATGTTGGTGTTTCTCAGCTGTTCATGTTCTCTTAATAGTGATTTAACAGTAATTGAAATAGCTGTTATAAGACATTAGCGATTTACAAAACAGACATCGATTACATAATACATAATGTGTTTCAAATAATGTGTCTAAATTTTTTAATGTGTTTCAAATAAAACAATGAAAAAAAAAATTTTTTTTTTTTTTTTTTTTTTTTAAAAAATTTTTTTTAAATTTTTTTAAAAAACATCAAAAATTTTTGAAAAGGAATTTTAAAAAAATTTTTTTTGTGGGAAAAAAGGCCCCCCTTTTAAAAAATTTTTTTTTTTTTTTTGGGGTTTTTTTTTTTCCCCAAAATTTAAAATTTTTTAAAAAAAACCCTTTTTTTTTTAATTTTTTTTTTTTAGGGTTTTTTTTAAAAAAAAAAAAGGGTTTTTTTTGGAAAAAAAATTTTTGGGTTTTTTCCCCTTTTTTTTTAAAAAAAAGGGGGGGGGGTTTTTTTTTTTAAAAAAAGGGGGGAAAAAAAAAAAACGTTATTTTAAAAAATTTTTTTTTTTTTTAATTTTTTAAAAAAAAAGGCCCCTTTAAAAAAAAAAAAAAATTTTTTTAAATTTTTTTTTTGGGCCTTTTTTTTTTAAAAAAAAAAGGGAAACCCCCCTTTAAAAACAAATTTTTTAAAAAAGGTTTTTAAAAAAAAATTTTTTTTAAAAATTAAAAAAAGGGGGGAAAAAAGAAAAGGGAAAAAATCCCCGTTTAAAAACCATATTTTTTTTTTTTTTTTTTCTTTTTTTTCTTTGGGAAAAGGGTTTTTTTTTAAAAAAAAAAAAAAACCCCTGGAAAAAAAAAATTTTTTCCCCTTTTTTTTTTTTTTTTTTGGGTTTTCCCCCCCAAAAAAATTTAAAAAATTTTTTTTAAAAAATTTTTAAAAAAAAAAAAATTTGGGAAAAAAAAGCCAAAAAAAAAACCTTTTTAAAAAAAAAAAAAAAAAGGTTTAAAAAATTTTTTCAATTTAAAAAAAAAAAAAAAATAAAAAAAAAAAATAAAAAAGGGCCCCGGGTTTTTTTTTTTAATTTTAAAAAAGGGTTTTAAAAAAAGGAAATTTTAAACCCCAAATTTTTTTAAAAAAGGGGGGGGGAAAAAATTTTTCCTTTAAATTTTTTAAAAAAAAAAAAAAGGGGGTGGGGTTTTTAAATTTTAAAAAAAAAATTTTTTTTAAAAAAAATTTTTTAAAAAGGGGTTTTTTTCCCCCAAAAAGGGGGGGAAAAATTTTTTAAAAAAAGGGGAAAAAAAAGGGTACTTTTAAAAAAAAAAAAAATTTTTTTTTTAAAAAAAATTTTTTTCCCCGGGGAAAAAAAAATTTTTTTTTTAAAAAAAAATTTAAAAAAACCTTTTTTTGAAGGGGGGAAAAAAAAAAAAAAAAAAAAAAAAAATTTTTTAAAAAAAATTTTTAAAAATTTTCCCCGGGGGTTTTTAAAAAAAATTTTAAAAAAAAATTTTTTTTTAAAAAAAAGGGGGCCTTTTTGGGGGTTTTTTTTTTTAAAAAAAAAATTTTTTTTAAATTTAAAATTTGGGTTTTAAAAAAAAAAAAAAATTTTTTAAAAAAAAAAAAAAAACCCTTTTTTTTTTTTTTTTGGGGTTTTTTTCCTTTTTAAAAGGCCCCCGGGGGGGAAAATTTTTTTAAAAAATTTTAAAAAAAAAAAATTTTTTTAAAAAAAAAAAAATTTTTGGGGAAAAAAAGGGGTTTAAAAATTTTTATTTTTTTTAAAGGGGAAAAAAAAATTTTAAAAAAAAAAATTTTTTTTTTGGGAATTTAAAAATTAAATTTTTTTTTTCCCCTTTTTAAAAAAGGGGGGTTTTAAAAAATTTTTTTTTAAAAGGGGGGGGGTTTTTTTTTTAAAAAAAAAAAAAAAACAAAAAAACAAAAAAAAAAAAAATTTTTTAAAAAAAATTTTTTTCCCCCAAAAAAAACCAAATTTTTCGGGTTTTTTCCCCAAAAAA